GGCTGCCGCCTCCCCAAGCCCCCCGCTACGTTTGAGGTGTTTTACAGGATTATTTGAATCCTCACTTTTACCATGAGGGGACCCGCCCCTCTTTTTAACATGCATGCATAAATGCCTACCTACCTTGCCGCAGAGGAACTGATGATGCTGAAGATGCAGGAAGCCAAGGCCCTCAATTTGCCCTTGATGCTGGGGATGTTGAAACCGATGATGATGTTGACGGACTAGCGTAAAATACGCACATGTCGCGAGAAAATGCTGTAAATTACAGCATTTTAGTAGCCAGGACGGAAAACAACAAAATCCCAAAATAAAACAAAAAATCCCAAATTAAATCTCGACCCCTATGTATATTATGGTACTCCTCCCATGGTTTGTACGCTCCGGCCAATCCAGTCCATTCCTTAGTTTGTACATCTATCCAAACACACGCACGCACGCTCGCAAGCACACGCACGCACACACACACACACACACACACACCAACAAAAACACAGACACAGACACAGACACAGACACAGACACAGACACAGACACAGACACAGACACAGACACAGACACAGACACAGACACAGACACCACGCGCGCAGCACGCACGCACGCAAGCACGCATGCACGCGCGCGTGTCGGGCCTTTCCCTGGCACCTCTTTTTCCGCTTGCGCAGGCCATGGCTGCAGCGGGGGGCCGCGCGCCGTCGCCTTCCGAGCGCTTTCAGGCGAACCGAGTTGGGAGCAACCGCCCAAAGTCCTAAGGTCCTATGCTTTATGGCTGTTTGGTAGGATCTTTGGACTTTGACTTGTTGGGCAGTGGATGTTCCGTTAGACCCACAATAAGTTAAACGTTTTGCAGGGGGGTCAAGAGCAACGGCGCAAGGCAGCACCAGGGTGCAAAGAGGGGCCATGTTTTCGGCAACCCCCCCCCTCCAATACTGCCCATGGAAAATCATCGGACTCATTTCGAGGGCGGGTTGCGCTTGCTTGTTTTGTTTGTTGTTTTGCGAGGTTTGTGGGGCTAACGCTCCAAACAGTTCTGCTTGAACAGTTGGCAAGCCAAGCTCAGGCCGTCGCTTGAATCCAGGTGAAAATTCCATCCTTCAACTCAACTCAAGTTGCATTCGGAGGGTCGATTGCAGTAATGGTGTCAAGAAAGGTTTTCGGAATCTTCTTAGAAGAGGTTTTTGGAAGGGTTTTGAGAGCCTTGCTGGTGGGTAGGGCCCTAATGTACCTTCTTCCTTGAACCGTGCAATATCAAGTGGGACATGTCTAATGACCCTTCATTGGGGGAGGGGGGGGGGGTCCACCCGGAACCCCACTTTGGGCCTGAGGAAGCTTGCAACCAGAGGCTGAGCCCTCGATTGATGGAAAACCAAGGGTTGGAGAACTTAAATTGGTCCATGTTCAATGCCCAAACTATAGGTCAGGAAATCTTAATTGACGAAAATTTGCTTTTTGGGGTCAGGTATAAGAGTGCCCAACAACGCTAGAAGAATAGAGCTCATGGCACACCTTGGGAGCGGCTGCGGCGCTTTCAAGCAGCTGCAGACCTTGCCACATTGCGCGACGGATCGCGTGGTGTGGCTAGTTGTTTGCAGATGGTCAGTTTGGCGAGACGCCCCATTGAAAGCCGACACACACACCCACCACGTGGTTCACTGTCCTTTTTCGTGACCAAAGGACTCGAACCCTCCACTGGCAAGGTTCAAAGGAAAGCAGTCCGAACCGAAACAAAATGCCTTCCGAGCATTGGGCGATAGGCACAAAGTTCAGCTTTCCATGAACTCTATGCAAAGGTCCGCCTCAGCAAAGCTCACAACTGCCCCTTTGCCAGCTGACCGTGTGCGGAGGGGCTTCTTTGAATCGAAGATATGCGTGCAGTCACTGGAATCGGGCAGTCTGTTTTTGGATCCACGCGAAACCGGCCTTCGAGTCCATGGATGGCATAGCATCATCCTGATGCCCAGGGCTTTGTCATGAAATTCGGAGATATGGAAGGCCCGGAAGGCACATACCCCATCAAAATATGACCATGGGATGGGTGAATATGTAAATGGTCTATGACTTAATTATATATGGATAATATTGTATACGTATGTATATATATATAATATGTATATGTAAGCATACTGCAAGCTTCATACCTCCACATCTTCCGCCTCACATGGCCATTGATTCTTTCTGCTCCGTCGCTCGCGCGGGAGGCACCGTCGGAGCGGAGGTATGACGCTGTCCGGTCCCCAGGCCCCAGGTCCTATCGTCCAGTTCGGCAAGTCCAGTCCCCACTTCACGACACGGCCTGTGCCAAGCCAACGGTCAACAGGTTCTGGGCGTAGGCGAGCACCTGGCAGAATGACCAGCTCGGGGTCAAAGAGGCTGACCCATCAAGGGCGCTTGCCTGGGAAGCTCTTGTTTGAGTTGGTTTTTTCAACTCGTACCTTGCCCAGGACGTTGGCTTCACCCAGAAAGGTTTTCAGAAAGACCGGGGAGAGGTGAAACACACATCGACTTGGCTTCATTCGGTTGTGGGGTTTTCAGCACTGGAAGTGGCCAACCCTAAATGAGGTTGGGTTGCGCTGCTTTGTCAAAAGTGATTCCCTTTGATTGAACCATGTCAAATCGGTGGCTTGGGTGTATTTGCCTCAGAGAGTTGGCAAACTAAACATTGGTTGGTGTCTTTATCATGTCAACAAGTTTGTTTGTTGTTTTTGTTTTCTTCTGGCTATTCCACTCATTTGGTAGATGTACGCAGCCGCTTGCAAGCATCCCTTGCTTTTCTTCTGTCCGCTTAGGGCGCGGGCATGGCGGGCATCATGGGCGGGGCACGCTATGACCAGGCGATGTGGGACAGCTCGAAGCCTTGTGCTGTTATTGACCTGCTACGAAGGCAACAGCCCTGGTGGAAGGTTTGTGTTTTAGAAGAAAGTTTGCGTTTAGTAGTCGTTCAGTGCCTCCTTTTTGTCCTTGGGGGGAAATGCCTTTAGTGCTCCGTTTTTGTCTTTGGGGGGGGGAGTGCCCGGGACAAGCGAGCCAGAATCAAATCCGATTCGGGTAGTTGAGTTTTAGAATGGGAGACAGTTGGAACCAGAAATCGGTGCAGAAAGGTTCATGCCCTTTTGACTCTTTACCATGAGCTTTAAGTTTACCAGACTCAGATGTTGAGCATCACAGACGAGGTTTCCAGTTCCCAGTTGTCCAGCGTCACTCTGAGCAGCAGGCCCTTTGCGCCCTCTCAGAAAAACCTTGGCGCCCGAAATGCATTTAAAAGGGTGTAACATAATCACGGGTAAAGGGCGCGCCAGGGGAAAATCGGGGATACCATGTAAAGGATGCAACCAAATCAAGGGTCAATGGCGCGCCAGAGAATAGGCGGAAAACCAGGAATACCGTAAAGGTTAAAGGATGCGCCAGGAATACCGTAAAAGCAATCAAGGGTCAATGGCGCGCCAGGGCGAAATCGAAGATACCGTTCAGTGCGTGGCAAAGGTCCCGAGCTAAAGACTCTCCGCCTTCTGAAATTCTGAACCGCCAGCCTGGCCGCGCGCCTTCGCCCTCCGCCGCGCGCGGGTTTGAGCTAGCGCAGGCGGGGAGGTGTTCAGCGAAAGCCGAAAGCCTTTCACATTTCAGTGGCTGGGGACCTTTTACATTCCTTTTCTTGGATGGTCCTAGTTGTGTGGTTCTTCTTGTTCATCTCCTTGTTCTTGGATGGTCCTACTTGTGTGTTGTTCTACTTGTTCATCTCCTTTCTGTCGGATGGTCGTTGGTGTGTGTGTGTGTGTGTGTGTGTGTGTGTGTGTGTGTGTGTGTGTGTGTGTGTGTGTGTGTGTGTGTGTGTGTGTGTGTGTGTGTGTGTGTGTGTGTGTGTGTGTGTGTGTGTGTGTGTGTGTGTGTGTGTGTGTGTGTGTGTGTGTGTGTGTGTGTGTGTGTGTGTGTGTGTGTGTGTGTGTGTGTGTGTGTGTGTGTGTGTGTGTGTGTGTGTGTGTGTGTGTGTGTGTGTGTGTGTGTGTGTGTGTGTGTGTGTGTGTGTGTGTGTGTGTGTGTGTGTGTGTGTGTGTGTGTGTGTGTGTGTGTGTGTGTGTGTGTGTGTGTGTGTGTGTGTGTGTGTGTGTGTGTGTGTGTGTGTGTGTGTGTGTGTGTGTGTGTGTGTGTGTGTGTGTGTGTGTGTGTGTGTGTGTGTGTGTGTGTTTGTGTGTGTGTGTGTGTGGGTGGGTGGGTGGGTGGGTGGGTGGGTGGGTGGGTGGGTGGGTGGGTGGGTGGGTGGGTGGGTGTGTGGGTGTGGGTGTGTGGGTGTGTGGGTGTGTGGGTGTGTGGGTGTGTGGGTGTGTGTGTGTGTGTGTGTTAGTACTTTGTTCAGTGGTTGGGTCTGTGTTGTTGTTTTCGGTGAGTTACGTGATGCTGGTTGATGTCTCTTCTGATTTGTTGATTGCGATGCAGTAATTTTATGTCTGTGTTATTGGCCTTCTGCAAAAAAAAGATGCTGGGCAAAGCAGGGGAGCTAGGAAGGGGGCGGCCGGTAAGACGACCTTTGAAACCTCTGCCTTTTTGGCCCGCGGCCTCAGCTGGTTTTCTTGCTGGTGCTCAGTAGAGAATGAAGGCATGACACCAAAAACACCATCCCCTATGGTTTTCTTTATACGGGAATCCCAAAACAGTTCATTCCAACTCTAGGTCCCCCAGTAGTGCCCTTCTTAACCCCTTTTTTGGTTGGGAGGGTTCCCGTGCTAGCACAGACTACCGAAAAAAGTTGGTAGTTGGTACCCTCATTCTAGGCTCTCTACTGGAGGACCATGGACAGGAAAGTTGTGGGTTTGGTGGGGGTTTCTGGATCCAGTCCCACAACGCGCGAGGGCAACGGCGCAGAACGCCGGTATGAGGCGCTCGCGCGGAGCCGTCGGGGTTCGGAGGTGGCGCTGGTCCGTCTATCCGCTAGTTATCGGTGTAGATGAAATAAGATGATAAGGGAAGAGAAAGAGGTATCATATAAAACATATAGTCGTATTTGTTTCTGTTTCTACTTTTTGCGATTTGTAATATTGGAAAGAACCAATAGCAGAACAAGAGGTACAAAATAGAAGGTTCTCACCATGAAGGTCCTTCTGTTCCGTGGAATGAATCCTTTCAGAGTTTGGAATTAGTCCGCAAGTTGCAGATGACTTAGGATTTGGGGACTTCTTCAATACCTCATCTTGGTGATGGCTCGGTTGTCCTGTAACAGCAGGGGGCCAGTACCCACTGCCAGTATTGTGTTTGTTCTTGAAGGGTATCCCTTGAAGCACAACCAGCAAGAAGAGGCGGCGCTTGTTTCCTCATTTAAGTTTCTCGTGTGGGTATGGGTCAAAATTAAAGCGCAAGGGGACCGCAGGTGTAGTCCTTGGTTCCATTTGCTGGGGTTCCAACATGGATACCTATTTTTTACCCACAGCCGTGTTTCTTTCTGACTTTACCTGGGACATGCCGAAGAGATGCAACAAGGGATCTGTGAGGCACCCTTGCGGCAGCCATCGCCGGCGCGGCACTACGAGGCGCGAAGAGAGGACTTGATGGGGTATTTTCCTTACGGGGCGCCTTACCCATTTCCATTCTTTCCAGGGATCCTTCTAGAAAACCTGCGGAAACCCAGGGAAAACGGCTGGTGGTTTTTCAGGAACGATGGAGGACAAGAATGGTTGTCAGTTGCAAGCCGGCCTTTGGGTCAAGATCCTGGAGGGTCAAGCTTGTGAGGACCATGTGAACAGAGCCCTTCCCAGTTACCCAGTGGCTCCGGTTTTTTCTGTTTTGGTGGAATGGGTTCCCTTGAAACACCAAGCCAGAAACGGGCTGCCAGTTCTTTCATTTTTACTCTGGCCTCGGAGCACGGGCCGCTGCATATTCACTTGCCAAGAGTCGCTTTGGCAGTGTGGGTGAAACCTTCCCCCCGCAAGCCACGAAAACTAGTGCAACCCAAAGCCTGTTTGGGTTTAGGGTTTTGCTTTGTTTGTTTTTTTTTTGGGGGGGGGGATCCAGCTCAAGCGACGAACGCCCAAACGCCCCAACTGCTCCTGGAGGCGCCAGGGCGGCAACCCTCCCCGGCGCGGCACTATGAGGCGACGAGGGGTCGACCCGAAGAGACGACCGGATCTGAGCACAGCAACTGAGAAGACGACCCAGTTGTTTCAGCGACACTTTATTTTAAATTTGGGTTGGTCATTTTCAGGGGGCCTTAGCCTATAGACCAACTTGAGCAACCCACAAAGGGTTGTGAACTTAGAGCCCAACAGAGCCCAAATTGCAGGGAGAACCTGCCGCAACCGGTCAAAATGCAGGTTCCCTTTTTCAGGGCCCACCTAGCACGCCACTTTCGGAGCGCAAAGCCTAAGGGCTTAAGGCGATGTGGAAGAAAACAAACCCTTCAAGGGCCCCCTGGTTGTCCCTTTCGGCTCACAGGGCAACTGCGCGTGTGTTGTTATTTTTTGGTTGAAGTTGCCTGTTCAGCTTCTTGGAGTCCCCCAATTTTGCTACAATTCAATTTTGCGACCAAAACAATGGCTCGGCCGCCCTTCTGATTCTTTGCATGATCTATAGACCCAAACCAAAACCTGGGAGCGTGTCCAGTACCCAGCAACGTTTTTTTCAACGAAGGTTTGCTTTTCCGGTTTCCACTTGTTGTGTCCGATCGCAAATTATGTGGCTACCCACGGGTTGATTCCCCATTCTTTTCAGCCATCGTTTGTTTCAAAAACCCGCAGAAAGAAGGATCCCTGGAAAGAATGGGGAAGTTTCCCCTGGAACCGACGGCTTCTTCCCTCACTGGCTGTGTCATTGTTTTAGGTGTCCCCCTAGAAATAGTGGTTTTCCCGTGGTTTTCCTTTAAAAAAACCAACCAACAAGGTGGCCCCTTCACCAAACATGATGTAGCCTTCCTGTGGTCTTCCTCTGCCACCAGCCAGAAAGGTGGCCCGTTTAACCCCAAAACAAGGGCCCCTTTTCCGGGGCGCCGGGTGCCAGGGCGCCGCGGGCATGGCCACGGCCCCGGGCCAGCGGCATCCCTGCTACGGCGACCCGCAGCAGGCGGATCACTTTCCTAAAATTCTGGGGCTCCAAGGCTTTTGGGAAGACCATATTTGGCGGTAAAAATCAAGAGTTCGGACTTTTTGTTGGTCAATCCACGCAGGAAGTAGGGGCGACTGGTTCCTGTGTTTGTTTTCTTCCTCCAACTGAAAGCTACGGGGGGTCGATAGGCGGATTGCAGGGGAACTACATATTTGTAGGCTTTCAAGGGATCCAGAGGGATCCAGGAGCGATCAAGGGGTTTACCCCCATTTCTGTGATACAGGGGAATCCCCTCTTTCTACGGGGGTTAGTCTTTGGGAGGCCCTTTTTGTTGTATCACAGAAGTGGACATTTCCCACAGCCCTGGCTGAGGCAGTTGGGCATTGTCCTTGGGATGCAAAGTCATCGCTCACTCCACATCGACGCAGCCAGGTGCCAATTGGGCGGGCGCCCTCGCCCGGTGGCCGGCGCATGGAGGCGTGAGGGGGGTGGCTCAATGAGAGGGGGAGACACGAGCACACTTTCACGCAGCTGTCGCTGTCACTGCTGAATAATGCCTGCTACTGCCTTTGGCCGTTACCCTTGGCCATTTGTGGAGGCTCATGGGATACCAACTGTTCAAATTGTTTCCACTGGGTTCTTACTTGGTGCCTAAGTCTTTACTACTCAGGAACGCAACGGTATTTGCTCGTTGGTGTCTAGAAAACTAGCTCCGTCTTGAGGTATGTCAACCTATAAAGCTTGGACTGGGCAGAATCCCTTTGGTTTCCCTGTCAAACAATAAAGGCCAAAAGGCTACCACTCTGAACAAGGCAAAATCACCTGTCTCATACCGGTCCTTGGGCCAGTTCTGGTTACCTGGTGTCACGTACTCCGGCTGCATCCTCGGCCAAACGCCTGTGGGAACCTCCAAAGCGACTTGCCCGTATGCCAGCAATGCAAGTTGTGCCGAGGGGTTCGGGAATTTTCTAGCCAAAAATCTACGCTACCTTGTTTTCTCGGGTAGTAAGGGCTTCTAGTAGAACTGAAAGTCGACGGGGTGTCGGCGCCTTATTGTGGGTTGGGGTACCCTCCTTCCCACCTCTGCCCACATTACCAAGGCGCCCAGAAGATGCCTTCAAGACTCAAACGGTCTTCCAGGAGGTTTCATGTTAATCAGTTGGGAGAAAGAAAGTCAACCTCGTTGTTCCGTGCAGTTTTACCTCTCCAGTGCATCTTCTCCTCTTTTCGCAGGCGGCTATGGGAGGCGGGCTGTCGGAGTTTTGGTGAGATGATTGCAAGCGGCTTTTGCTGCGTTGGTCCTTGGGGACAATGTAATTCCGCCCCTCAAATCTGCTTTTGACCTTACCAATTGGTTTGTGGGCCCAAACGCCTTTGCGGGTCAGGGGAAAACAAAAGGGCCGAGGTTCTGGGAAGATCGCATTGAGTTACCTAACCAGTCAGGCTGGTCTCCTGGAACCCCGCATGAAGGTGCTTCTACTCCTGGAAGCCTGAAATGTTGAAAGTTTCTGAGACCTGCTGAACAAACGGGGCCCAAGGAGCGCACAGATTGGTTTCAGCCACGGCTTGGGAGAATGCGTCTGAATTCTGAGGATCCCTCACTTCAGTCCTGCTCCTGCAGAGGATCCCAGACAGAGGGAGAGAGAGAAAAAAAGCTAAAAGTAACGAGATAGAGAGAGGAGAGAGAGAGAGAGAGAGAGAGAGAGAGAGAGAGAGAGAGAGAGAGAGAGAGAGAGAGAGAGAGAGAGAGAGAGAGAGAGAGAGAGAGAGAGAGAGAGAGAGAGAGAGAGAGAGAGAGAGAGAGAGAGAGAGAGAGAGAGAGAGAGAGAGAGAGAGAGAGGGAGAAGGGAGAGAGACAGAGGAGAGAGAGAGAGAGAGGGGAGAGGGAGAGGGAGAGGGAGAGGGGAGAGAGGGAGGGGGAGGGAGGGAGGGAGGGAGGGAGGGAGGGAGGGAGGGAGGGAGGGAGGGAGGGAGGAAGGGAGGGAGGGAGAGGGAGGAGGATCTGAGGAGGGAGAGAGAGGAGGATCTGAGGAGGGAGAGAGAGGAGGATTGGATGGTGCCAGTTGGTAGGTGGCTTATCCCAATTTTTCCATGGATTCATTCATGGCAGCTGGTGCAGGCCAATTTTGTGTGTCCCGATTTGCCCTCTGGCCTTGCCAGCCCTTTCGTGACCGAGCAAGCTGCCCTGTTTGGCCTTGAGGCCAGTGCCAATGGCTTGTGGTGGGCCTCATTTCCTCCTTTCCTCCTCCGAACCGTTGGTTTTGTCTTGTGCGTTTCGTCCGCCGATTTTTGTTTGGATTTTCCACCCCAAGCCGCTCCTTGCAGCGGGCCTGGCTTGTCCCAGGCGGCCAAATGCACGCCGCTGGCTTTCAGGCGCGTGGGCCGGCTGGACCCACGTGAGGGGTGGGCTTTTCCTAAAAAGGGGGTTGGAGACCAGGCTTGACCCAGCCACTTAAACGTGTCAAACCACAATCGTTGAAGCAACTTTCTTTGGGTTTCCCTTGCAACCCAGTAGCGAATCGGGACCGGCACTTTGCTGTGTGTCGTTCTGCCCCTTCTCTGGGACAATGCCGATGGGCTTCATTATCCATGTCAAAATTGGGAGCCCTTCGATTGAAGAGTCAAAGAAATCACAAGGACGTGCAAATGTCAGGGGTACGCACTTCTGGGGTTGAGCTACCGGTGGCCAAGTTGAATCAAATGTATCATATAACACATGTACATTTAAGGGCTGCCGCCCTGTGCCTCCGACCTTTCCTGGGAGAGCGCGCTGTCAAAGTAGAAGTCCGCTTACTACTGTGTTGTCGCCCGGTGGTTGAGCACACGAGAGGCTTCTTGGCTTGCATTAATTTTGGTTAGTTTAAACCAACCCACACCTCCCAAAGCCAAACATAAAGGCTCGCAGGTTTAAATTTGCAGGTGATAAATCCATCTGAATCAACTCCAACACAGAAACAAATACGGAAGGCAACTGTATCCTCTGTCAAGCATGGCAAGGGGCAGGTCTGAGAGGCCAGCTCGCCAGCCAATTTGCCGGCGCCATGCCGAAGCGGACTCGCGCTGGGTGGCAGGAGGTCTGGGCAGCACCCATGAGACTTTGGATAAGGACAGCTGCTGGAGTCGCGGCGTGCCAAGGTTAAGACAAGTACAAAAAACAGAGAGCATTGGGGAGGTGCCAGGACACTCCGGTTGGCAGACACAGCAGGTGTCCTCGTATCACACCCGGTTACTGCACAAAAATTATCATGGGTGACATGGTTGGAGGATTCTATACAGAAATCCAAAAAGACCAAGTTTATTCCAGACGTGCAGGTCACACATAGAGCTCTGGAGTGCGAAAAAACTCTTGAAATCAGGAATAACTATTCAGAAACCCTTTGGGACACTTACCGTGACTCAGATACCACTGCCTATTCTGCAACTCGCACGCCCGCCAAAGGAACTACAACAAATTCAAAGTCTAAGACCGGGGCTTCACTTTGAAGATAACTTTCACACAGATCTCCCATGCGTGCTGTATACGGACGGCTCAATGAGCAGAGGGAATGCACCGGAAGTCGCCGATGCGGCTTTGGCAATTGTGGCCGACGATCTTTGCACAAACGAAGCCCGAGCTTGGGCTGGGAAAGGTGGATCAGCACAAGTGAAAAACCAAACACATTTAAGGTGATCCACATGGGAAAAGTCCAGGGGCCCCAAACAATAAACAGGGCTGAGTTGTGGGCCTTGTGCAAAGCCTACTCCATGACACAGGAGGGAATTATCTTTTCTGACAGCACGTATGCCAAAAGTAAGGTGACCGAAATGGTAAAGAAGCCCGAATTGGCATTGTTTCTGAAGTCACCAGACTTTGACATCGTGCAACAAATATGCTGCCATCATTTGAACACTCACTCAGGCAAACTGATTGCCATTTGGAAAATCAAGTCCCACGTCGGCCTGGAGTCCATTGAGGACCCATTACAAAGATACCACTACTTAGGAAACTACTTGGTGGATGAGGCCGCCAAGGCAGCCATCAAATTCGATTGCGGTGACATTAGTATACAGTATGATCAAAATGTCATCAAGAAGAAGGCTGCCCTTTCCAAATACCAGCAACTTTTGGAATATCTTAGAGACCTTGGGGGTGGCAAGAATGAAAATAGCGAGACCTGCATGGGATGAAACCACCGCCGCTGCCTCAACAGACACCAGAGCTGGATAGCTTGATAAACTGGAATATCCAAGACACAAGAGAAGTGACACCGTGGCAGATAAACGAGAGAATAACGCAAAGAGCATGCTTTATGGACCAACGTGGTCATATCGTGTTGGTAAAATTCTGCCAGGTGACACATCCAAACTTGACTCAATTTTCCAAACAAAATGCAAAACGGATTTCAGACTCGAAAAACACGCGCTTGAAGACGCCACATCTTTCGAAGAAAGCTTTATCTTGTGGCGCAGAAGGTGGAAAATGCACACAAGAAGAAAACTGACCAGTGAATACGACCCCTCGCGGCCAAGATAAGGTTGGAGGAGGGGTTACGCGTCAGTTTCTTCGTTTGTAGAGAGAGGTACCACCTGCTACACTCACGCATATGCTGGGGTGTAGTAGTGCAGACAAGTGGGGCTGGGCAGCACCCCTATTTTGGGAAGCGCCTTGGTTTATTGCATTGCGGCAGACAGCTTCGGGTGCGCAACGGGCAGGTGTCGCAACAATATCGACATCGCTGCCCGACGTGGTTCACTATTGCGCGCTTTTGAACGGCTAGGGGCCGACTCAAGAGCCGTCGCAAGAACCAGCGCAACAAAACACGTGGAAGCCTGAGTTGGAGGATGAAGCGCCCGAAGAAGAAGAAGAAGAAGAAAATGAGAAGAGCAGCAAGAGAAATTGGACAGAGCAGGCTTCGAAGCCGAAAAGTGCTTTTGGATCCTGTTTGGGAGAGAGAACTGCCCCAGCATCACCAGCAAGGCCGCTTGTGAGCGAGCCGCGCAATAGACTAGAACCGGACACAGCAGCAACATCCCAAACATCACTCGCTTGTAGGCGAGCAACGCGGTCCGAAGAAAGACCCAACGCTGAAAAGATGCCCAGCATCCGGCTGTTTGCCTCGGCGGGCAATTTGGCGTCAGGCGGAGGCAGTGGAGCCGTAGTTGTTTCGGCAGTTGGTGTCTTTGATGAATCCTCTTCAGTGGACTTGGTCGTAGGAGGGGGTCTCTCGCCGGCATCCTGTTTTTCTCACGCTGAGGGTTCTCGCCTTCAGCCGCCTTCACACGTCCTCGGCTTGCCCTGACTTTTTGGTTGTCTTCATTCTTCCATCTTTCAATCTCGCAAAGCGTCATACTGCGGTAGCTCATATATAGGGGACGAAATCAGAGTCATCTCGACGGATGATTACGGACTTGTCGGCGTCAGACTTGCAGAAGGTCAGGCGCCGCACATAGATCGGAAGATCCGGGCGACGATTGCGCGGCAGTCCCCATGAGGAGCT